AGGGATGGACAGCCATGGTCCTAGGACAGGGATATCAGCGTGTAGGACCCTTAGGATGGTCAGGCATGGTCCTAGGACAGGGATATCAGCATGTAGGACCCTCAGGATGGTCAGGCATGGTCCTAGGACAGGGGATATCAGAGTGTAGGGTCCTCAGGGATGGACAGCCATAGTCCTAGGGACTAGCACAGGGATATCAGAGTGTAGGGTCCTCAGGGATGGACAGCCATAGTCCTAGGACTAGCACAGGGATATCAGAGTGTAGGGTCCTCAGGGATGGACAGCCATGGTCCTAGGACAGGGATATCAGAGTGTAGGACCCTGAGGGATGGTCAGCCATGATCCTAGGACAGGGATATCAGAGTGTAGGACCCTCAGGATGGTCAGGAATGGTCCTAGGACAGGGATATCAGAGTGTAGGACCCTCAGGATGGTCAGGAATGGTCCTAGGACAGGGATATCAGAGTGTAGGGTCCCTCAGGGATGGACAGCCATAGTCCTAGGACTAGCACAGGGATATCAGAGTGTAGGGTCCTCAGAGATGGACAGCCATGGTCCTAGGACAGGGATATCAGAGTGTAGGACCCTGAGGGATGGTCAGCCATGATCCTAGGACAGGGATATCAGCGTGTAGGACCCTCAGGATGGTCAGGAATGGTCCTAGGACAGGGATATCAGAGTGTAGGGTCCTCAGGGATGGACAGCCATAGTCCTAGGACTAGCACAGGGATATCAGAGTGTAGGGTCCTCAGAGATGGACAGCCATGGTCCTAGGACAGGGATATCAGAGTGTAGGACCCTGAGGGATGGTCAGCCATGATCCTAGGACAGGGATATCAGTGTGTAGGACCCTCAGGATGGTCAGGAATGGTCCTAGGACAGGGATATCAGAGTGTAGGACCTTCAGGATGTCAGGGATGGTCCTAGGACAGGGATATCAGAGTGTAGGACCCTCAGGATGGACAGCCATGATCCTAGGACAGGGATATCAGCATGTAGGACCCTCAGGATGGTCAGGCATGATCCTAGGACAGGGATATCAGAGTGTAGGACCCTCAGGATGGTCAGGAATGGTCCTAGGACAGGGATATCAGCATGTAGGACCCTCAGGATGGTCAGGCATGATCCTAGGACAGGGATATCAGAGTGTAGGACCCTCAGGATGGTCAGGAATGGTCCTAGGACAGGGATATCAGAGTGTAGGACCCTCAGGGATGGACAGCCATGGTCCTAGGACAGGGATATCAGAGTGTAGGACCCTCAGGATGGTCAGGCATGGTCCTAGGACAGGGATATCAGAGTGTAGGACCCTCAGGGATGGACAGCCATGGTCCTAGGACAGGGATATCAGAGTGTAGGACCCTCAGGATGGACAGCCATGGTCCTAGGACAGGGATATCAGAGTGTAGGACCCTCAGGATGGTCAGGAATGGTCCTAGGACAGGGATATCAGAGTGTAGGACCCTCAGGATGGTCAGGCATGGTCCTAGGACAGGGATATCAGAGTGTAGGACCCTCAGGATGGTCAGGCATGATCCTAGGACAGGGATATCAGAGTGTAGGACCCTCAGGATGGTCAGGAATGGTCCTAGGACAGAGATATCAGAGTGTAGGACCCTCAGGGATGGACAGCCATGGTCCTATGATGTGGACTAGGAGAAGGTGGGACTGTAGAAGGACCCGGTCACAGATCCAGGCTGTGTATGTGAGTTCTCACCCTGGGGGGAGGAGAGGGTTAAGGAGGTGATGGGAGGGGGGGGGTGGGGAGGTAATGGGACCTCATTATACCACAGATTGTACAATCAGCGAGGTGTAATTGTCGAATTTGATGCTAATGATTAATGAATTATACATGTGCCGCCAATTAGTCCGCCGAGAATAATTCTGCATAAACCTCGGGGTAATGTAATTACCGAACAGACACATAACGAGCTGAGAACATCCTGCATGGGGGGGGGGACCGCGCACACTCCATGCATCCCGCCAGTGTCAGCACTCACATCCCGGGGGGGAGGGGATCCGGACCAGGAGACGCAAGAGACACCACACACTCCATGCATCCCGCCAGTGTCAGCACTCACATCCCGGGGGGGGAGGGGGTCCGGACCAGGAGACGCAAGAGACACCACACACTCCATGCATCCCACCAGTGTCAGCACTCACATCCCGGGGGGGGGGGGGATCCGGACCAGGAGACGCACGAGGCCGAGCACACTCCATGCATCTATGAGACCGGGGGGGGTTGTTGTATGACCCGTGTCCTGTATATAAGAGGAGGGGGGGGGGGTCATGTATATAGCTGTAGACAGGGGGGGTTGTATGGCCTGTGTCCTTTATATAGGAGTAGATGGGGGGGGGGGTGTTATGACCTGTGTCCTGTATATGAGAGAGGGGGGGGGGGGGGTCATGTATATAGGAGTAGACAGGGGGGGTTGTGGTCCGTGTCCTGTATATAAGGAGTAGACTGGGGGGGGGTGTCCTGTGTATATATGAGGAGACCGGGGGCGTGTCCTGATATATGAGTAGACCGGGGGCATGTCCTGTATATAATAGGAGTAGACTGGAGGGGGTGTCCTATATATGAGTAGTCGGGGGCGTGTCTGTATATAAGGAGTAGACGGGGGGGCGTGTCCTGTATATAAGGAGTAGAGGGGGGCGTGTCCTGTATATAAGGAGTAGACCGGGGGGCGTGTCCTGTATAGGAGTAGACCGGGGGGCGTGTCCTGTATATAAGGAGTAGACCGGGGGGCGTGTCCCTGTGTATAAGGATATAAGGAGTAGTCGGGGGGGGCGTGTCCTGTATATAAGGAGTAGTCTGTATATAAGGGGGAGGGGGGGTGTGTCCCCTGTATATAAGGAGTAGTCGGGAGGGGGAGGGGGGGCGTGTCCTGTATATAAGGAGTAGACCGGGAGGGGGGGGCGTGTCCTGTATATAAGGAGTAGAGTGTCCTGTATATAAGGAGTAGACCGGGGGGGCGTGTCCTGTATATAAGGAGTAGACCGGGGGGCGTGTCCTGTATATAAGGGAGACCGGGAGGCGTGTCCTGTATATAAGGAGTAGACCGGGGGGCGTGTCCTGTATATAAGGAGTAGACCGGGGGGCGTGTCCTGTATATAAGGAGTAGTCGGGAGGGGGGGGTGTGTGTCCCCTGTATATAAGGAGTAGTCGGGAGGGGGGGTGTGTGTGTCCTGTATATAAGGAGTAGACCGGGGGGCGTTGTCCTGTATATAAGGAGTAGACCGGGGGGCGTGTCCTGTATATAGGAGGAGACCGGGGGCGTGTCCTGTATATAAGGAGTAGTCGGGAGGGGGGGGGGGGGTGTGTGTCCCCTGTATATAAGGAGTAGTCGGGAGGGGGGGGGTGTGTGTGTGTGTCCTGTATATAAGGAGTAGAGGAGGGGGGGGGGGCGTGTCCTGTATATAAGGAGTAGTCGGGAGGGGGGGGGGGTGTGTCCTGTATATAAGGAGTAGTCGGGGGGTGTCCTGTATATGAGTAGACCGGGAGGCGTCCTGTATATAAGGAGTAGTCGGGGGGCGTGTCCTGTATATAAGGAGTAGTCGGGGGGTGTCCTGTATATAAGTAGTCGGGGTGTGTCCTGTATATAAGGAGTAGTCGGGGGGCGTGTCCTGTATATAAGGAGTAGTCGGGGGGCGTGTCCTGTATATAAGGAGTAGTCGGGGGGGCGTGTCCTGTATATGAGTAGTCGGGGGGCGTGTCCTGTATATGAGAGGGTCCGGGGGCGTGTCCTGTATATAAGGAGTAGTCGGGGGGGGGCATGTCCTGTATATAAGTAGTCGGGGGCGTGTCCTGTATATAAGGAGTAGTCGGGGGGGCGTGTCCTGTATATAAGGAGTAGTCGGGGGGCGTGTCCTGTATATAAGGAGTAGTCGGGGGCGTGTCCTGTATATAAGGAGTAGTCGGGGGGCGTGTCCTGTATATAAGGAGTAGTCGGGGGGGCGTGTCCTGTATATAAGGAGTAGTCGGGGGGCGTGTCCTGTATATAAGGAGTAGTCGGGGGGGCGTGTCCTGTATATAAGGAGTAGTCGGGGGCGTGTCCTGTATATAAGGAGTAGTCGGGGGCGTGTCCTGTATATAAGGAGTAGTCGGGGGGCGTGTCCTGTATATAAGGAGTAGTCGGGGGCGTGTCCTGTATATAAGGAGTAGTCGGGGGGGCGTGTCCTGTATATAAGGAGTAGTCGGGGGGCGTGTCCTGTATATAAGGAGTAGTCGGGGGGCGTGTCCTGTATATAAGGAGTAGTCGGGGGGCGTGTCCTGTATATAAGGAGTAGTCGGGGGGCGTGTCCTGTATATAAGGAGTAGTCTCGGGGGGGCGTGTTCTGCATATAAGGAGTAGTCGGGGGGCGTGTCCTGTATATAAGGAGTAGTCTGGGGGCGTGTCCTGTATATAAGGAGTAGTCGGGGGGCGTGTCCTGCATATAAGGAGTAGTCGGGGGGCGTGTCCTGTATATAAGGAGTAGTCGGGGGGCGTGTCCTGTATATAAGGAGTAGTCGGGGGGGGCGTGTCCTGTATATAAGAAGTAGTCGGGGGGGCGTGTCCTGTATATAAGAGTAGTCGGGGGGCGTGTCCTGTATATAAGAAGTAGTCGGGGGGCGTGTCCTGTATATAAGGAGTAGTCGGGGGGCGTGTCCTGTATATAAGGAGTAGTCGGGGGGCGTGTGTCCTGTATATAAGGAGTAGTCGGGGGCGTGTCCTGTATATAAGGAGTAGTCGGGGGGGCGTGTTCTGCATATAAGGAGTAGTCGGGGGGCGTGTCCTGTATATAAGGAGTAGTCGGGGGCATGTCCTGTATATAAGGAGTAGTCTGGGGGCGTGTCCTGCATATAAGGAGTAGTCGGGGGGCGTGTCCTGTATATAAGGAGTAGTCGGGGGGGCGTGTCCTGTATATAAGAAGTAGTCGGGGGGCGTGTCCTGTATATAAGAAGTAGTCGGGGGGCGTGTCCTGTATATAAGGACACACGGGTCGGTCGGCGGTCTCACCTGTCTGTCCCTGAATTTGGCTGTTGGGTCCTCCGGCTCTCGGCGGTCTCTTCCCCGGAACCTTCACCGTAGTTCGCAGTAAATCGATCTGCTTCCCATGAATGTTCTGCATGTAGTCCTGGAAGAGGAAGAGTCGGGGTTGTCATGGTGTCAGAGGAGTACAGATATATTGTCCTCCCCCCCCCACCTCACCACATCAAAGAAGAGTACGGGGTGGAAGAGGACGAATGGGAAGAGTACGGGGAGGACGAGTGGGAAGAGGGGGGAGGACGAGTGGGAAGAGTACGGGGTGGAAGAGGACGAGTGGGAAGAGTACGGGGAGGACGAGAGGACGAGTGGGAAGAGTACGAGGGTGGAAGAGAGGACGAGTGGGAAGAGTACGGGGAGGACGAGTGGGAAGAGTACGGGGAGGACGAGGAAGAGTACTGGGGGAAGAGGACGAGTGGGAAGAGGGGGAGGACGAGTGGGAAGAGTACGGGGGTGGAGAGGACGAGTGGGAAGAGTACGGGGGGAGGACGAGTGGGAAGAGTACGGGGAGGGACGAGTGGGAAGAGTACGGGAAGAGAGGACGAGTGGTGGGAAGAGTACGGGGAGGAAGAGTGGGAGAGTACGGGGAGTGGGACGAGTGGGAGTACGGGGAGGACGAGTGGGAAGAGTACGGGGAGGACGAGTGGGAAGAGTACGGGGAGGACGAGTGGGAAGAGTACTGGGTGGAAGAGGACGAGTGGGAAGAGTACGGGGAGGACGAGTGGGAAGAGTACGGTGGAAGAGGACGAGTGGGAAGAGTACGGGGGGGAGGACGAGTGGGAAGAGTACGGGGAGGACAAGTGGGAAGAGTACGGGGAGGACGAGTGGGAAGAGTACGGGGAGGAAGAGGACGAGTGGGAAGAGTACGGGGAGGACGAGTGGGAAGAGTACGGGGAGGAAGAGGACGAGTGGGAAGAGTACGGGGTGGACGAGGACGAGTGGAAGAGTACGGGGTGGGAAGAGACGGTGGGAAGGAAGAGGACGACGAGTGGGAAGAGTACGGGGTGGATGAGGACGAGTGGGAAGAGTACGGGGTGGACGAGGACGAGTGGGAAGAGTACGGGGTAGACGAGGACGAGTGGGAAGAGTACGGGGTGGAAGAGGACGAATGGGAAGAGTACGAGGGGAGGACGACGGGGTGGGGGAGAGGACGAGTGGGAAGAGTACGGGGTGGAAGAGGGACGAGTGAGAAGAGTACGGGGTGGAAGAGGACGAGTGGGAAGAGTACGGGGTGGAAGAGGACGAATGGAAAGAGTACGGGGGGACGAGGACGAGTGGGAAGAGTACGGGGGTGGAAGAGGACGAGTGGGAAGAGTACGGGGTGGAAGAGGACGAGTGGGAAGAGTACGGGGTGGAAGAGGACGAGTGGGAAGAGTACGGGGTGGAAGAGGACGAGTGGGAAGAGTACGGGGTGGAAGAGGACGAGTGGGAAGAGTACGGGGTGGAAGAGGACGAGTGGGAAGAGTACGGGGTGGAAGAGGACGAGTGGGAAGAGTACGGGGTGGAAGAGGACGAATGGAAGAGTACGGGGGGACGAGGACGAGTGGGAAGAGTACGGGGTGGAAGAGGACGAGTGGGAAAGAGTAGACGAGGGGGTGGAAGAGGACGGGGTGGGAAGTGGAGTAGGGGGTGGAAGAGGACGAGTGGGAAGAGTACGGGGGGGAGGACGAGTGGGAAGAGTACGGGGTGGAAGAGGACGAATGGGAAGAGTACGGGGGGACGAGGACGAGTGGGAAGAGTACGGGGTGGGAGGACGAGTGGGAAGAGTACGGGGTGGAACGAGGACGAGTGGGAAGAGTACGGGGTGGAAGAGGACGAGTGGGAAGAGTACGGGTGGAAGAGGACGAGTGGGAAGAGTACGGGGTGGAAGAGGACGAGTGGGAAGAGTACGGGGTAGACGAGGACGAGTGGGAAGAGTACGGGGTGGAAGAGGACGAGTGGGAAGAGTACGGGGTAGACGAGGACGAGGGGAAGAGGACGAGTGGGAAGAGTACGGGGTGGAAGAGGACGAGTGAGAAGAGTACGGGGTGGAAGAGGACGAGTGGGAAGAGTACGGGGTGGAAGAGGACCAGTGGGAAGAGTACGGGGGGGTGGAAGAGGACGAGTGGGAAGAGTACGGGGTGGACGAGGACGAGTGGGAAGAGTACGGGGTGGAAGAGGACGAGTGGGAAGAGTACGGGGTGGACGAGGACGAGTGGGAAGAGTACGGGGTGGAAGAGGACGAGTGGGAAGAGTACGGGGTGGAAGAGGACGAGTGAGAAGAGTACAGGTAGGGGAGGTGTAGATGGGTGAGGGTGGTACACTGTGAAGAAGTTTGGAGGAGTACGGAGAGGACGGGGTGGAGGAGTACGGAGAGGACGGGGTGGAGGAGTACGGAGAGGACGGGGTGGAGGAGTACGGAGAGGACGGGGTGGAGGAGTACGGAGAGGACGGGGTGGAGGAGTACGGAGAGGACGGGGTGGAAGGGAGATGAGACTCTCGGTCAGTAATTAGTAGAATCTCATTTCCTTCCACTGGAGGAGTACGGAGAGGAGGGGGTGGGGAGTACGGAGAGGAGGGGGTGGAGGAGTACGGAGAGGAGGGGGTGGAGGAGTACAGAGAGGACGGGGTGGAGGAGTACGGAGGTGGAGGAGTACGGAGAGGAGTACGGAGAGGAGGGGGTGGAGGTACGGAGAGGAGGGGGTGGAGGAGTACGGAGAGGACGGGGTGGAGGAGTCATTATCACATCATTAGCAGACGATCAATTAACTTCTCCAAACAATCTAATTGATGTGAAGACGACAATTACTGCGAATGACAGAGAGGAGAGCGCCGGAGAACTGCGAGCTGTACTGTGCACTGTATATACTGCACCCGCTATATACAGAGCATGATACACACTATACTGCCCGCAGTATTGGGCCCCCGGCTTTCCCACACACATGACCTTTAATGGCCCCCCAGTCTTAGTCCGTAGGGTTCAATATTGAGTTGGCCCCGCCCCTTCCCACACACATGACCTTTAATGGCCTCCCAGTCTTAGTCCGTAGGGTTCAATATTGAGTTGGCCCCGCCCTTTCCACGCACATGACCTTTAATGCCCCCCAGTCTTAGACCGTAGGGTTCAATATTGAGTTGGCCCCGCCCTTTCCACACACATGACCTTTAATGGCCCCCCAGTCTTAGTCCGTAGGGTTCAATATTGAGTTGGCCCCGCCCTTTCCACGCACATGACCTTTAATGGCCCCCCAGTCTTAGTCCGTAGGGTTCAATATTGAGTTGGCCCCGCCCTTTCCACACACACGACCTTTAATGGCCCCCCAGTCTTAGTCCGTAGGGTTCAATATTGAGTTGGCCCCGCCCTTTCCACACACATGACCTTTAATGGCCCCCCCAGTCTTAGTCCGTAGGGTTCAATACTGAGTTGGCCCCGCCCTTTCCACACACATGACCTTTAATGGCCCCCCAGTCTTAGTCCGTAGGGTTCAATATTGAGTTGGCCCCGCCCTTTTCCACACACATGACCTTTAATGGCCCCCCAGTCTTAGTCCGTAGGGTTCAATATTGAGTTTGGCCCCGCCCTTTGCAGCTTTATAACAGCTTCAACTCTTCTAGGGAAGGCCGTCCACAAGGTTTATGGCCCCCCAGTCTTAGGGTGTCTATGAGTTGGGAAGCCCTTTGGACACATTCTTCCAGAAGCACATTCCGTAGGTCATTGGTCAGGCACTGATGTCGGGGGAGGGGCACTGATGTCGGAGGAGGAGGCACTGATGTAGGGGGGATTGAGTTGGCCCCGCCCTGATGTCGGGGACCTGTAAGGCAGTCTGATGTCGGGTTCAATATTGAGGAGCCCTTTGCACCTAACCGATTCAACTCGGGGGAAGGCCTGATGTCGGGGTTTAGGAGGGTGGCACTGATGGGAAGGAGGATTGGGCACTGAAGCATGTCGGGGGAGGAGGCACTGATGTCGGGGGAGGAGCACTGATGTCGGGGAAGGGGCCTGGCTCGCAGTCTCGCCCTAATTCATCCCAAAGGTGTTCTATGGGGTTGAGGTCAGGACTCTGTGCAGGACAGTCAAGTTCCTCCACCCCAAACTGGCTCCTCCATGTCTTTATGGACCTTGCTTTGTGCACTGGTGGGCAGTCATGTTGGGAACAGGAAGGGGCCATCCCCAAACTCCTCCCACAAAGTTGGGAGCATGAAATTGTCCAAAATGTCACCTTAAGAGTTCCCTTCACTGGAACTAGGGGGCCAACCCAAACCCCTGAAAAACAACCCCCCACCATAATCCCCCCTACACCAAACTTTACACTTGGCACAATGCAGTCAGGCAAGTACCGTTCTCCTGGCAACCGCCAAACCCAGACACGTCCATTGGATTGCCAGACAGAGAAGCGTGATTGGTCCCTCCAGAGAACACGCCTCCACTTGGTGGCTGAGTGGCTGTTGTTCCCAGTGGCTTCCACTTTGTTATAATCCCACTAACAGTTGAGCGTGGAATATTTAGTAGCCAGGAAATGTCACGGATGGACTTATTGCCCAGGTGGCCACCTATCACGGGACCACGCTTGGAGTCACTGAGCTCCTGAGAGCGACCCATTCTTTCACCAATGTTTGTAGAAGCCGTCTGCATGCCTAGGGGCTTGATTGTATACACCTGTGTCCATGGAGGGGATTGGAACACCTGAATCACATGATATGGAGGGGATTGGAACACCTGAATCACATGATATGGAGGGGATTGGGACACCTGAATCACATGATATGGAGGGGATTGGAACACCTGAATCACATGATATGGAGGGGATTGGAACACCTGAATCACATGATGGGGAGGGGATTGGAACACCTGAATCACATGATATGGAGGGGATTGGAAGCACCTGAATTACATGATATGGAGGGGATTGGGCACCTGAATCACATGATATGGAGGGGATTGGGACACCTGAATCACATGATATGGAGGGATTGGAGCACCTGAATCACATGATATGGAGGGGATTGGAACACCTGAATCACATGATATGGAGGGGATTGGAACACCTGAATCACATGATATGGAAGGGATTGGAACACCTGAATCACATGATATGGAGGGGATTGGAGCACCTGAATCACATGATGGGGGGGGATTGGAACACCTGAATCACATGATACGGGGGGGATTGGAACACCTGAATCACATGATACGGAGGGGATTGGAACACCTGAATCACATGACGGGGAGGGGATTGGAACACCTGAATCACATGATATGGAGGGGATTGGAACACCCGAATCACATGATATGGAGGGGGATTGGAACACCCGAATCACATGATATGGAGGGGATTGGAACACCCGAATCACATGATATGGAGGGGATTGGAACACCCGAATCACATGATATGGAGGGGATTGGAACACCCGAATCACATGATATGGAGGGGATTGGAACACCCGAATCACGATATGGAGGGGATTGGAACACCCGAATCACATGATATGGAGGGGATTGGAACACCCGAATCACACGATTGGGAGGGTGATTGGAACACCCGAATCACACGATTGGGAGGGATTGGAACACCCGAATCACACGATTGGGAGGGGATTGGAACACCCGAATCACACGATTGGGAGGGGATTGGAACACCCGAATCACACGATTGGGAGGGGATTGGAACACCTGAATCACAATTGGGAGGGGATTGGAACACCTGAATCACATGATTGGGAGGGGATTGGAACACCTGAATCACACGATTGGGAGGAGATTGGAACACCTGAATCACATGGTATGGAGGGGATTGGAACAGCTGAATCACATGATTGGGAGATCGGAAAACCTGAATCACATGATATGGAGGGGATTGGAACAGCTGAATCACATGATTGGGGAGGGGATTGGAAACACCTGAATCACATGATATGGAGGGGATTGGAACACTTGAATCACATGATATGGAGGGGATTGGAACAGCTGAATCACATGATTGGGAGATTGGAAAACCTGAATCACATGATATGGAGGGGATTTAAAACAGCTGAATCACATGATGGGGAGGGGATTGGAACACCTGAATCACATGATATGGAGGGGATTGGAACAGCTGAATCACATGATTGGGAGGGGATTGGAAAACCTGAATCACATGATATGGAGGGGATTGGAACAGCTGAATCACATGACTGGGGAGGGGATTGGAACACCTGAATCACATGATATGGAGGGGATTGGAACACTTGAATCACATGATTGGGAGGGGATTGGAACACCTGAATCACATGATATGGAGGGGATTGGGACACCTGAATCACATGATATGGAGGGGATGGAGCACCTGAATCACATGATACGGAGGGGATTGGGAGCACCTGAATCACATGATACGGAGGGGATTGGAACACCTGAATCACATGATTGGAGGGGATTGGAACACCTGAATCACATGATATGGAGGGGATTGGAACACCTGAATCGCATGATTGGAGGGGATAGGAACACCTGAATCACATGATATGGAGGGAATTGGAACTGAAATCACATGATTGGGAGGGGATTGGAACACCTGAATCACATGATATGGAGGGGATTGGAGCACCTGAATCACATGATATGGAGGGGATTGGAACACCTGAATCACATGGGGGAGGGGGGGGGATGTTCCTAATGACATGACACGATGTGGGGGGATCACCCAGGATATGATCATAGGATATGGGGGGATGTTGTCACCCCAATACTGATCACAGGATATGGGGGGGGAGGGGTTACCCCAATACTGATCACAGGATATGGGAGGAGGAGGGGTTACCCCAATACTGACCATAGGATATGGGGGAGAGGGGGGTCACCTCAATACTGATCCCTCAATACTGATCACAGGATATGGGGGGAGGAGGGGTTACCCCAATACTGATGACCACGATATGGGGGGTCGCCCCAATACTGATGACATGATATGGGGGGAGAGGGGGTCATCCTAATACTGATCATAGGATATGGGGAGAGGAGGGGTCACCCCAATACTGATCATAGGATATGGGGGGGGAGGGGTCACCCCAATACTGATCATAGGATATGGAAGGGGGGAGGGGGAGTTGCCCCAATACTGACCATAGGATATGGGGGAGAGGGGGGTCACCCCAATACTGATCACAGGATATGGGGGGAGGAGGGGTTACCCCAATACTGACCACAGGATATGGGGGGAGGGGGGTCACCTCAATACTGATCACAGGATATGGGGGGAGGGGGGTTACCCCAATACTGATGACACGATATGGGGGAGGGGGGGTCATCCTAATACTGATCATAGGATATGGGGAGGAGGAGGGGTCACCCCAATACTGATCATAGGATATGGGGGGAGAGAGGGGTTACCCCAATACTGATGACCACGATATGGGGGGTCGCCCCAATACTGATGACCACGATATGGGGGGTCGCCCCAATACTGATGACATGATATGGGGGGTCATCCTAATACTGATCATAGGATATGGGAGGAGGAGGGGTTACCCCAATACTGATCATAGGATATGGGGGGAGGAGGGGTCACCCAATACTGATCATAGGATATGGGGGGGAGGAGGGTTACCCCAATACTGATCATAGGATATGGAAGGATAGGGGGGGGGGGTCATGCCCTAATACTGATCACAGGATATGGGGGGGGGGGGTCACCCTAATACTGATGACCAGGATATGGGGGGGGAGGGGTTACCCCAATACTGATCACAGGATATGGGGGGAGGGGGGTCACCCTAAAACTGATCATAGGATATGGGGGGAGGAGGGGTACCCCAATACTGATCACAGGATATGGGGGGGGAGAGGAGTTCACCCCAAAACTGATCACAGGATATGGAAGGGGGGGGGGGGATGCCCCAATACTGATCACAGGATATGGAGGGAGGGGGTCACCCAATACTGATCACAGGATATGGGGGGAGAAGGGGGTCACCCCAAAACTGATCATAGGATATGGGGGGAGGAGGGGATACCCCAATACTGATGACAAGATATGGGGGGAGAAGGGGGTCACCCCAAAACTGATCATAGGATATGGGGGGTGGAGGGGATACCCCAATACTGATGACAAGATATGGGGGGAGGGGGGATTTTGATTTCATATACTTCCATTATGAACCCTTCACCGCATGAGGCGGTAAGTGGGCGGAGGAGGGCGGAGTCAGGACTCACGTGGAGGCTCGGGTGATAGGTCAGGACCCCGTTGTCACACAGCGTCACGTACTTCTTCTTCCATTCCTTGTTCAGAGATTTCCCACTTCTCTTCAGAAGGACCCCCCTGAAAGAGCAGAGAAAGAGATTCACAGCATCTCACTTTACGGCAGAGGAGACGCCTCCCCCATCTCACTTTACGGCAGAAGAGCCTACAAGGGGGGCAGAGACGGGGGGAGAGGAGCTCACACAGAGGGATGAAGAGCCTACAGGGGGGCAGAGACGGGGGGGAGAGGAGCTCAGACACAGAGGGATGAAGAGCCTACAGGGGGGCAGAGACGGGGGAGAGGAGCTCAGACACAGAGGGATGAAGAGCCTACAGGGGGGCAGAGATGGGGGAGAGGAGCTCAGACACAGAGGGATGAAGAGCCTACAGGGGGGCAGAGACGGGGGGAGAGGAGCTCAGACACAGAGGGATGAAGAGCCTACAGGGGGGCAGAGACGGGGGAGAGGAGCTCAGACAAGGAGGGATGAAGAGCCTACAGGGAGGCAGAGACGGGGGAGAGGAGCTCAGACACAGAGGGATGAAGAGCCTACAGGGGGGCAGAGACGGGGGGAGGAGCTCAGACACAGAGGGATGAGCCTACAGGGGGGCAGAGACGGGGGAGAGGAGCTCAGACACAGAGGGATGAAGAGCCTACAGGGGGGCAGAGACGGGGGAGAGGAGCTCAGACACGGAGGGATGAAGAGCCTACAGGGGGGCAGAGACGGGGGAGAGGAGCTCAGACACAGAGGGATGAAGAGCCTACAGGGGGGCAGAGACGGGGGAGAGGAGCTCAGACAAGGAGGGATGAAGAGCCTACAGGGGGGGCAGAGACGGGGGAGAGAGGAGCTCAGACACAGAGGGATGAAGAGCCTACAGGGGGCAGAGACGGGGGAGAGGAGCTCAGACACAGAGGGATGAAGAGCCTACAGGGGGGCAGAGACGGGGGAGAGGAGCTCAGACACAGAGGGATGAAGAGCCTACAGGGGGGCAGAGACGGGGGAGAGGAGCTCAGACACAGAAGGGATGAAGAGCCTACAGGGGGGCAGAGACGGGGGAGAGGAGCTCAGACACAGAGGGATGAAGAGCCTACAGGGGGGGCAGAGACGGGGGAGAGGAGCTCAGACACAGAGGGATGAAGAGCCTACAGGGGGGCAGAGATGGGGGAGAGGAGCTCAGACACAGAGGGATGAAGAGCCTACAGGGGGGCAGAGACGGGGGAGAGGAGCTCAGACAAGGAGGGATGAAGAGCCTACAGGGGGGCAGAGATGGGGGAGAGGAGCTCAGACACAGAGGGATGAAGAGCCTACAGGGGGGCAGAGACGGGGGAGAGGAGCTCAGACACAGAAGGATGAAATGCCTACAGGGGGGCAGAGACGGGGGAGAGGAGCTCAGACAGAGGGATGAAGAGCCTACAGGGGGGCAGAGACGGGGGAGAGGAGCTCAGACAGAAGGATGAAGAGCCTACAGGGGGGCAGAGACGGGGGAGAGGAGCTCAGACAGAGGGATGAAGAGCCTACAGGGGGCAGAGACGGGGGAGAGGAGCTCAGACACAGAGGGATGAAGAGCCTACAGGAGGTGCAGAGATGGGGGAGAGGAGCTCAGACACAGAGGGATGAAGAGCCTACAGGGGGGAAAGGAGCTCAGACACAGAGAGATAAAGAGCCCTAAAGGGGGTGCAGAGACGGGGGAGAGGAGCTCAGACACAGAGGGATGAAGAGCCTACAGGGGGGCAGAGACGGGGGAGAGGAGCTCAGACACAGAGGGATGAGAAAATGCCTACAGGGGTGCAGAGACGGGGGAGAGGAGCTCAGACACAGACGGATGAAGAGCCTACAGGGGGGGCAGAGATGGGGGAGAGGAGCTCAGACAGAGGGATGAAGAGCCTACAGATGGGGCAGAGAAAGGGGAGAGGAGCTCAGACAGAGGAATGGAGAGCCTACAGGGGGGGCAGAGACGGGGGAGAGGAGCTCAAACACAGAGGGATGAAGAAACTACAAGGGGGGGCAGAGACCTGGGAGCTCGGGGATGGAGGAGTTCAGGGATGGATAGGAGAGGAGTTCGGGGACAGAGGAGAGGGAGAGGCTCTGTATAGGTCTGCAGCACTGTCATAATGCTCTGCCGCCATCTAGTGGCCATCGTGCAGAGTGCTTTAGTTCTAAAAAGAGAGGGGAAAGGAGCGCAGAGACAGAGGGGAGAGGAGAGCAGAGATAGGGGGGAGGAGCGCAGAGACAGAGGGGAGAGGAGCGCAGAGACAGAGGGGAGAGGAGCAGAGATCAGGGGGAGGAGCGCAGAGACGAGGGGGGGGGGGGGGGGTAACGCAGACACAGAGAGGGCAGAGAGAAGCGGGCAGCAGGACAGAGGGGGGATTAAGAACCTATAGGGGGGCAGAGACATAGGGGAGAGGAGTGCAGAGATGGGGGAGAGGAGCTCAGACACAGAGGGATGAACAGTCTACAGGGGTGCAGAGACGGGGAGAGGAGTTCGGGGGTGATGGAGAGGAGTATGAAGAGGCTCTGTATAGGTCTGCAGCACTTTCATAATGCTCTGCCGCCATCTAGTGGCCATTGTGCAGAGTGCTTTAGTTCTAAAAAGAGAGGGGAAAGGAGCGCAGAGACAGAGGGGAGAGGAGCACACAGACAGAGGGAGGAGGAGCGCACAGGCAGAGGGGGGAGGAGCGCACAGGGAGAGGGGGGAGGAGCGCACAGGCAGAGGGGGGAGGAGCGCAGAGACAGAGGAGCATACAGAGGGGAGAGGAGCGCAGAGACAGAGGAGCATACAGAGGGGAGAGGAGCGCAGAGGGGAGAGGAGTGCACAAACAGAGGGGAGAGGAGCGCAGAGATAGAGGGGAGAGGAGCATACGGAAGGAAGAGGAGCGCGCAGACTGAGGGGAGAGGAGCGCACAGGCTGAGGGGAGAGGAGTGCAGAGACAGAGGAGCATACAGAGGGGAGAGGAGTATACGGAGGGAAGAGGAGCGTATAGGCAGAGGGGAGAGGAGCGCACAGGCTGAGGGGAGAGGAGTGCAGAGACAGAGGAGCATACAGAGGGGAGAGGAGTATACGGAGGGAAGAGGAGCGCAGAGGGGAGAGGAGTGCACAAACACAGAGGGGAGAGGAGCGCAGAGATAGAGGGGAGAGGAGCATACGGAAGGAAGAGGAGCGCGCAGACTGAGGGGAGAGGAGCGCACAGGCTGAGGGGAGAGGAGTGCAGAGACAGAGGAGCATACAGAGGGGAGAGAGGAGTATACGGAGGGAAGAGGAGCGTATAGGCAGAGGGGAGAGGAGCGCACAGGCTGAGGGGAGAGGAGTGCAGAGACAGAGGAGCATACAGAGGGGAGAGGAGTATACGGAGGGAGAGAGGAGCGCGCAGAGGGGAGAGGAGTGCACAAACAGAGGGGAGAGGAGCGCAGAGATAGAGGGGAGAGGAGCATACGGAAGGAAGAGGAGTGCGCAGACTGAGGGGCACAAACAGAGGGGAGAGGAGCGCAGAGACAGAGGAGCATACGGAGGGGAGAGGAGCATACGGAGGGGAGCACCGGCTGCAAGGATACGAGAGGACAGAACCATCATCGGTAGGTCCAGTTTCGGTCTCCTTCCAGTTCCTCTGATTGGCCGTCTTCTGGTGCTTTCTCCTCCAATCATCTCAGGTCGGCTGTGTGGTCACTCCTGCAGCAGGAGACTGGATGGGACTGTATTCAGGGACTGTCGCCCCCATCCTATTGCCCTCTACACGGCTTCTACCAGGACCGGCATGGCCTCTGTATACCGACCACCAATACACCTCCCCTCCTCCCGCCATCAATGGAAACGTCATCAGCCATTCCACGTCCACCGTGAGCACACGTCTACGTTCTGGGGTCCATGTATTATGCACTCCCTGAGGGACCCCACATCGTACATACTCCCTCTGAGGGACCCCGCCATCGTACACACTCCCTCTGAGGGACCCCGCCATCGCACACACTCCCTCTGAGGGACCCCGCCATCGCACACACTCCCTCTGAGGGACCCCGCCATCGTACACACTCCCTCTGAGGGACCCCGCCATCGCACACACTCCCTCTGAGGGACCCCGCCATCGCACACACTCCCTCTGAGGGACCCCGCCATCGTACACACTCCCTCTGAGGGACCCCGCCATCGTACACACTCCCTCTGAGGGACCCCGCCATCGTACACACTCCCTCTGAGGGACCCCGCCATCGTACACACTCCCTCTGAGGGACCCCGCCCATCGCACACACTCCCTCTGAGGGACCCCGCCATCGTACACACTCCCTCTGAGGGACCCCGCCATCGTACATACTCCCTCTGAGGGACCCCGCCATCGTACATACTCCTTCAGAGAGACCCCCACCATCGTAACATACTCCCTCTGAGGGACCCCACCATCGCACATACTCCTTCAGAGAGACCCCACCATCGTACATACTCCCTCTGAGGGACCCCGCCATCGCACACACTCCCTCTGAGGGACCCCGCCATCGCACACACTCCCTCTGAGGGACCCCGCATCGCACACACTCCCTCTGAGGGACCCCCGCCATCGTACATACTCCTTCAGAGAGACCTTGCCATTGTACACTATATTGCCCGCAGTATTGTTCGGCCGCCCTTTCCACACACATGACCTTTAATGCCCCCCCCCGTCTTACTCCGTAGGGTTCAATATTGAGTCAAGTTCCTCCACCCCAAACTGGCTCCTCCATGTCTTTATGGACCTTGCTTTGTGCACTGGTGGGCAGTCATGATGGAACAGGAAGGGCCACCCCCAAACTCCTCCCACAAAGTTGGGAGCATGAAATTATCCAAAGTGTCGCCTTAAGAGTTCCCTTCACTGGAACTAGGGGGCCAAGCCCACCCCCTGAGGAACACCCCCACACCATAATCCCCCCTCCACCACACTTTACACTTGGCACAATGCAGTCAGGCAAGTACCGTTCTCCTGGCAACCACCAAATCCAGACACATCCATCGGATTGCCAGACAGAGAAGTGTGATTGGTCTCTCCAGAGAACACGTCTCCCCTGCTCTAGAGTCCAGTGGCAGCGTGCTTTACACCACGGCATCCGACACTTGGCAT